TAAAAGTTAGAATTTGACACTCTTGAAATGTCTTATTTTAGCAAAAAGATTTCTTTTAATAGGATATGAAGGTGAAATATGACCTTTTGTACAACAAAAATGACATATGAGATGAGAGTGACTAAAAGGTGCATGCACAAAACCATTTTTGGTAGTTTTTACTTTTGAAAAAGGTTTATATCCAATTCCAACTCTATCAAAAGTACGATTTTATTTTTAAAAATTTTATCTAAAGTCTCTATACCTTGAGTGAATTTTGAAAGAGTATTTTTCAAGTCTTCAATATTTTCTTTCAAAATAATTTGCTTATTTTTTAAAGACTTATTTTCTTCTTGTAATACAACTAATTTTTTCTCAGAAATTGAAAACTTTTTTCGAGTTAAAATCTCATTTTCTTTATTCATTTTCATGGCTTCATTTTCTAAAGTATTTATCTTGGAAGTTAAGGATTCATTTTCTTTTGATAAACTTGAAATCACTTTCTTTTGACAGTTATTTTTCAAACTACGTTTCATAAATTCAGTATGTAATTCATCAAAAGCTTATTGTAATTCATCAAACATAAAAGATTCGTCATTTACCTCATCTTCGTTTCCAAGTGCCATTAAGCATAAGTTAGCAACCTCATTTTTGCAAACTTCGATTTCTGAGTCGCTTTCATCGCTATCTTCTCTCCATGCTGCAATCATGGCTTTCTTCTTGTTTTTCTTGAATTGTTTCTTAAGTTTCGGACATTCTGATTTATAGTGTCCAGGTTTGTTGCATTTGTAGCAGGTAACTTCAGATTTTTTGTGATTTTCTGTCCTTTGAAAATCCTTATTGTTGAAATTTTTTCTGAAAATTTTTCGCACACCTTGTTTTTTTTTCACAAACCTTTTGAACTTCCTAATGATGAATGTCATTTCCTCATCATCATCCATATCATCTTCCTCATTCTCTTAATGTTTCGAGGTAAATTTGAAGGCTATTCATTTCTTGTTGTTGTTATCCTTATCTTCTTTTCCTTTTTGCATTATGAGATCGTGAGTTAAGAGATATCCCATTAACTCATCTAGACTTAGCTTTGATAAATTCTTGGCTTCGGTAATGGTAATGACTTTTGTCTCCCAACTTTTTGACAATGACCTAAACACTTTTCTTACAATTTCAGCATTAGTATATATTTTGCCAAGAGAAGTTAAATCATTAATAATATCAGTAAAGTGAGTAAACATTTGAGGAATAGTTTCATTAGGTTTCATTTTAAAGAGTTCTTAATTATGGACTAATAAACTGATTCTAAATTCTTTCACTTGTTCGGTTCCTTTATAAGTCACTATAGGCTTATCCCAAATTTCTTTTGCGGTTTTACATATGAAAATTCTATTGAATTCGTTGGCATCTAGGACGCAATACAATATGTTTGTGGCTCTGACATTAATTTGGATCATTCTAGTATCTGATTCATTCCACTAATTTTCAGGTTTTGGTAAATTAAGGCCATCTATGATTTTGGTAGGAATTTTTGGATCATTGCAAATAATTTTCTAACATTCATAATCATTAGATTGAACATGTATTGTCATCCTAATTTTTCAATAGCTAAAATATAAGCCGCTAAACAATGGTGGCCTATTGGATGCTTGTCCTTCAGGTAAGGAATAACTAGGGGTTGCCATGATCTACTCTAAAACAGTTAAGTCACACAAACTAGAGTCTAACTCTGATATCAATTGTTATCCTAGGTAGGCAACCCAAGAGGGGGTGAATTGGATTATTAAAATTTTTTACAATATTAAAATTTATAAACACAATATTCAGAATTTTAACAAATAAAAAACAGAATAATAATTATTAATATAAAAGTAAGATAGATAGGGAGAGAAAATCAAACACTGAGATTTATAATGGTTCGGCACGCTAGGCCTACGTCCACTCCCTAAGGAACCTCCTTGAGAATTTCTTTACTATCAAAATAAATTAATACACTATCAAGTCTTCACTAAGTTTGTGAATTTTGCATAGGACTTACTTTTATCTATTGAGCCTCAGTTAACAATAAATGTCTTACCCTTACAAAAATCTCTCACAAAAATAATAAATAAAAATAGGTCATACTTAACCCTCTTTTACAATAATTCTCTCATAAAGAATAGTTATGAAAGTGTAAAAACAAAAGGTACACTTAGATCTGAAAGTGAAAGAGTAAAATATAATATATTCAAAATTTTGAAGCACATAGAAATTTTTTCTTTTTAAGTTCTTGATTTTTTTCCACACATATCACTTCTATTTATACCCCAAAATATACCTGTTGAAAGAGACAGACGCTCCTCAAGATGTCAGCTGAATCAATTTGGAAGAGAATCATGTGGAAGAAAAGTTTGCAATCTTGCAAATCTGAATCCTTTTAGGCTTTAGTCAAAATTGTACAACAAAAATAAAAAAAAAAAGCTATTAGAAATGATGTCTTGTATGATTTTTCATATGCCAACATGCATATATGTAATATGATATTCCATATGCCAACATGTATATAGGTAACAGGATATACTCAAATGTAGTTTAATTGCTTTCGTGATGTATTCTATTATATACATTATATAAAATATTATAATCAAATATTTGCATACATCGTAAAATCTTTTTTATAATAGATCTGAAAAAATATATATACCTTTTTTTTAAATTTTTGTAGAGATTTTAAACTAATCGTAACCTACCACTCCATTTGTGTATATCAATTTTATTAAAAAAAAGACAATCCATCAATGTTACATTTGTCAAGATAATATAACCAATCAATCGATTTTGTCAAAATAATACAATTAATCAATTTTAATTTTGTCAAAAAGTGAATAGTGATCAGCCAACCAATAAATCAATTTGACAAAATATGAATAGTGATCAGCCTAATTTTTTAAAAAGTGAATAGTAGAGTTTTCAAAAATATTTTTATTTAAATAATATCTAACAAATATATATATATATATATATATAATATTTTGTGTCAAATAATATAAAATATGTATATTATTTATAAATTTTCAATTAATATTTTAGATATCATCAAAATTAAACAACATGATTAACACAATTCAAACTATCAAAATCATGAACAGAACAGTATTAGAGATTGTATGCCTCTGCATTGTTATATCTATATCTATTTTTAAAACAAAAATCAACCAGCATATATTATCTTTTTTATTTATTATTTTTAGAGTTAGATTTAAAAATTAAAAAATATAGATAAATAATACATTTATTTTTTTCAATTCAAAAAATATATTCAAGTTGAAAACTCTTTTTCAACAAAATATATTTAACAAAATATTTAAACTATTTTTCAATTGAAAACACAAAGTCTTATAAATTATTAGGGATGCTCGCAGTTTGGCAGTTCGGTTGCGGCCAAAGGAATTTGGTTTGGTTGGTTTGGGCGGATCGGTATATTCGTAGTCGTCCGCTCGTCATCACGCATCCGTCTAAAATGTGGCGGATCGATTTGGTTTGGTTGGTTTGGACGGATCGGTATATTCGTTGTTCACCTCTAATATTTACTCACTAGGGTATGCCCGTGCCTGAAGGCACGGTGTAAATAATGTTAGGATTATAATATAATTGTAATCGCAATACTATTTAAATTTAAGATTAAAATGCAATTATAAAAATATATTTAATAGACTACACTCTACAATTCCAAACAAATCAAATATAAAAATAAATTAAATATCAAATAATGCACACCAGCTAGTACTCTGTAATTTAAAAGAAATTAAAATTAAAATGCACACCCGTTAGTGTTACTGCTGCCAATCAAATTCTAACTACATAAGAAAAATACACACATAAAATTAAGAAAACAAACCCCCCCCCCCAAAAAATCATAATTTTTGCTACTAAAAAAAAAACCAAAAAATCACAATTTCTGAACTAATAGAAAACTCAATTGTATATACTGAATATTGTTATATAATAAACGTGATGTTTTCTTAGTTGATGATTGAAATTAATATTATTTATAATTTTAAGTTTAACCAAATCATATCAAAATTCTATTTATCATAACCATCTATTTGCAATCCTACTAGACCAGATCAAATCTCTTTCTTTTCTTCCATAACCATCTATTTAAACTCCTACCACACCGTATACTTAACAGTGTACACACAAAATATCAAAATATAAACCCATACTCTTGGAACAATTACAATAAAAAAAGATTTGATATATACAAATAAAAATAATACTAAACTATTAATATAAAAAATAAAATAATAAAAATCCAAAAAAAAAGAAAATTGTTTTTTTTAAAATAAAATTTAATACTGTTATTTAAAAAAAAATAGATTTTAAGAATGCTGAATTGTTTTTTTAAAAACACACATAAAATTAACAAAACAAAAAACCAAAAAAAAAAAAATGTATTTTGTTATTTAGGTTTCTTGTTGGCTTGTCCTCAAACCTATGTAAAGGCTTTCTATGTACAATTATGATTATGATGGAAAATATATAGAATTTCATATTCCCTCTCCTCTCCTCCTGTGTCTATTGGGATGTCATACTGATAAAGTGGAAAAATGTGAAGAGCAGAATCTATAGCAACAAGAATACTACAACCCTTCTAAAAATCTATTGAATCCTAAGATCATTAGAATTATAGGGTAAAGAAGAGATTTCTCTCAACAAAATTGTGTATTATTAATCAAATCTGTATAACCCTAAGACTAACAACCATTATTTATAATAGAAGAAAATTCATGAAATTGGGATTAATATATATATATATATATATATATATATATATATATATTAGGAAACAAAATTAATTGTTGTAAAGCAAGCAATTCTAATTCTTGTAGGACAAGAAAATAGGAATCCTAAATAAACAGGAAACTAAAGATATCAATTACCAAATAATAAAATGAAATATATATATTTTAAAATTTCCATCTGCATCATATATGATATATCTAACTTACCTGGTATGATGTTGAGGGTTTTTTTTTTTTTCCCCTCTAACAAAATCTTCTATGAATATGTAGATTATAAATGTCTACAATCAAGAGTATGAGAGTGCTGCAGCGTTTTGGCCAGATGTCCATGGACGCATTATAACTGCATTACTTGTCTCGCAACTACTTCTAATGGGACTGCTAAGTACAAAAGCAGCTTCCCAGTCAACTCCGTTGCTCATCACACTCCCGGTGTTGACCATATGGTTCCACAGGTTCTGCAAAGGTCGTTACGAACCAGCTTTCATCAGATACCCATTACAGGTTAGTTGTTAACTGTTGCAATTTGTGTATACCTGTTGGTTTGTTATTTATCGTTATGGTTGACTTTGCTTTGTTCGAGTCAATAAATTTAATCTAATTCATTATATATAAACCATCTATTTTGGTCATGTTCTCAATTGGATTACCAGTACTAGTTTTTGGGCTGCAGTAACCAGAAGACTTCTAATACTGAATGAATGTGTTATCTTACTTCTAATAAAATAATAAGTGGTTGGAATGACCAGAACCATTTAAAATGTTGAGAATATCCAAGTCAGCAGTTCTGTTTGACTGTATTTTCATTTTTCGGAAAACAACAAACTTGTTTGGCAAACTATTTCCCAAAACCTTTAAAAAAATTTGTGAAAACGATTGTTGTTTTTGATATTTTCATTGTATTTGTTTCCATATATATGAAGAATAGAGGAGAGGGAGAAACTTTAAATCGACACAATGGAGTTACAACTATTTGAGAAACAATCCTATTTGGTTGTGTTCTCTCTCTCTCTCTCTCCCTCTCTCCCTCTCTCTCTCATTGGATTTTTCTAAAAAAACTAGCAAACAGTTGAGCCCAAAGTTCAGTCACTAGAAAAAAAGTTGAGCATCTTGATACTCTGCTCAACTTTCTTGCACTTTCTTGTTAAGTCATAACTTCGATTATCCTTCTCATTTTATTTATTTATTCTTTTGGTGGATTTTTCAGGAAGCAATGATGAAAGATACCTTGGAACGTAATAGGGAGCCAAACCTAAACTTAAAAGATTACCTTCAAAATGCTTATATCCATCCAGTCTTTAAGGGTGGCGATGAGAGTGAAAATGAGAGTGATGCAGCTAGCGAGGATTCAGATCAGGAATTGGAGCTCGTCCCAACAAAACGCCAATCTCGAAGGACTACACCTTTCCCCAGCATACACAGCGGTTCTTCCCATCCTTCGCTCTCTGAAGTACACATAAATTCACAGCCATGACATTTGTCATTTCACAGCCAAAACATTTGTCATTTGTGCACTTAGATTTCCATTTCTTCACTCTACATTTAGGCTCTTGTAAAGGTTCAACTTGGCGGATAAGTTAAAATTTTGAAATAGATTGGGGATGTATATAATTAGCTTGAAATGAGATTATTTCAACACAATTAGTGTGAAACTTTTTTTCAATATATTATCGGTCTTGTTTCTCCTACTTCAACTGGTTTGAAGTTTCTAAATTGGACCTGTCACATACAAGAAATGGAAAGAAGTCTTTAGCTTTCAAGCTCCCAAAAATCCATGCCATTGTTTATGTATATGATGTTATGTATGTTTACTATTGTAATTCTCCTGTTCATTGTATTTTGTTATTTAGGTTTCTTGTTGGCTTGTCCTCAAACCTATGTAAAGGCTTTCTATGTACAATTATGATTATGATGGAAAATATATAGAATTTCATATTCCCTCTCCTCTCCTCCTGTGTCTATTGGGATTTTAACATGGTACCAGAATCAATGACTCAATGACCTAGGGTTTCATCATCAAACATGACCATGTGTCATCTGTCTAATGCTCTGTTGCTGCTATCATTTCTCTTGCCCTTCAGTCCACTTCCCCAGCCTCATCTTAAAAAAGCACCGCACATGCTCTCACCCTGAAGGGTGGAGCATAAGTGACAGCTCATCACACAATTTTGCTTTTTGCATGGCCATTTCCAGCTCATCGATTTATCCTAAACCAGCCCATCTTCTCTCAATTTACCAATGTTAGAGGTCGGGCTCATCAAATTATAAATTTAAGGATATATGAACTTGGCAAAAAATTGTCATATTTTTATATTTTTAATCAAGTATGCGAGAGAAAAATGGTGCTACATGTAACTTACAGTGTCAAAAAGATATTTATAGTAATTATACAACAATATGTACGTATAATTATAGTGTTATATACAATTATATAAGTATCCGTTGAAAAATATCCGACACATATCCCATACTCTTATCAGAGTGTCGGGTGTCTGACACGGGTATTTGATTTATTTTGAAGAGTCTGTGTTAACATATATCCGAATGCTATTTGGATGTTGTGCTTTAATTGTTATCCTGTCAGCCCACCATATAGCCCATGTAATTGATCATTGCATCGTTTTTGTTTTTGTTTTTGTTTTTCTTTTTTTCTTGCAAAACTTGGTATTTGTTCATTTGCACATGTTTTTCTTAGGATATTTAATGCTGACAATTTTTTGACTTTCTTTTGTATAAACAAAAAGAAATCAAGTTGATGTTGATTCGCTTATGCTGGAGCTTGATGGAACTCCAAATAAGTCAAAATTGGGGGCTAATGCAATACTAGGAGTGTCTCTGAGCGTATGTAGGGCTGGTGCTGGAGCAAAAGGAATGCCTCTTTACAAGCACATACAAGAATTATCAGGAATTAAAGAGCTTGTTATGCCCGTTCCTGCTTTCAATGTGATAAATGGTGGCAGCCATGCCGGCAATAGTCTTGCCATGCAAGAGTTCATGATATTACCAGTAGGAGCAACCTCATTTGCAGAGGCTCTCCGCATGGGTAGCGAAGGTAAGCAAACTCGTTCTGCTCTTATTGCAGTTCTTATAAATTAAAATTGATGACTAAAATTCTGACAATCAGGTCTCATGAAGTATTTTGATTACTAACTTGCATAATCTTATAGCTTCTTCCAAACGTTCTAGGGCTATGGGTAATCAAAACTGGCTTCCATGTTATTTATCAAAACAAATAAATAAAGGGAAATGCTAAAAACTGCTCCTAGGGTTGTTGTTAGTGTTGGAAAATGTGTAAAAAGTGTATCGAAAATGTGTAAAAAGTGTATAAAAATCTGTAAAAGTGTTTTGGGATTATAAATATTTTGGCATTATTTGTTTCTTATTGACAATTCTTTGGGTTGTCATTAGCAAGACCCATAAATGAATACTAATCAACCGACATGAATACTTAGTAATCATTAGTGCTAAAAGATTGACAATAATTTTACTTTTGCCAAAACAGTTTATCATGTACTGAAGGGAATTATCAAAACGAAATATGGACAAGATGCATGCAATGTTGGAGATGAGGGTGGATTTGCTCCCAATGTTCAGGATAATAGGGAAGGATTGGTATTGCTCGTAGATGCAATTGAAAAGGCTGGATTCACAGGAAAGGTAGCGGCATGAATCTATTACTCATTCTTAACGGTAGGTCATTTAATCCTTCAGAACAGTTTCTAACAAAAAATGAATGGTACAGGTAAAGATAGGAATGGATGTTGCAGCTTCAGAGTTTTTCACCAAGGATGGGAAATATGATCTCAATTTCAAGAAACAACCAAATGATGGTGCTCATGTGCTTTCAGCTCAGAGCCTTTGTGACCTATACAAGGAATTTGTCAAGGATTTCCCTATAGTTTCTATTGAAGATCCCTTTGATCAGGATGATTGGAGCTCATGGACTTCTCTACAGTCTTCAGTTGATATTCAGATTGTAGGTGATGACCTGTTGGTCACAAATCCAAAGAGAATAGCTGAAGGAATTCAGAAGAAGGCGTGCAACTCTTTGCTATTGAAGGCAAGCATTTATATCTAAATATTAAATAAACTTTCATATGTTTTTACTCATATGGCCTTGTTATATTCAGACTTGTGCTTGATGCCTTCTATATTCTTTGACTTGTTCTTATTGTTCCTCCTGCATCATGTTGAGATTTTGTTTTGCTTTTCGGGAGCATGTGTCTCTGCTGATCAATTTGACCTTCTATACATTACTTAAAAACAAAATAGCATGTGTCTCTGTCTGCTGATCAATTTGACCCTCTATACATTACTTAAAACCAAAATATTCAACTTATGTTAGGATTTTTTCAAAGGGAAATTTGGCCACAAATCCCTCAGGAGGCACTTATCTTGTCAAAAGGATAAGAATTATATTAATACTTTCAAAAGCCTTAGTATTTTAAAACATCCTTCTCATAGTCACTGTTTGTTTTCACTGTCTCATATGAGATTGATAACCTTAGATTTGAGATTTATTACCTTAGATTTGAAAATCAATAGTTCTCTCTCTCTCTCTCCCCTTCCCCTATAAACCCTTGTTTTTGTTCGTTCCTTTTTTTTATTTGTTCATAGGTGAAATCGCAAATTTTACTCTGATTCAGAGTAAATTTTACTTTGATTTAGAGTAAAATTTTACTATGAATCAAATTAAAATTTTGTCCTTTTAACAAAAAACGGGAGCTATGAGGGAGTTTTGCAAGTATTGAATTTTTTTGTCCTTTTGACAAAAAAACGAAAGGTCTGAGGGACTTACAGCCAAATCTCCCTTTTTCAAATATTAGTTTCTTTAGTGTTGATTGTTAGTCATGTTGAAACTTGATTGTTCTGTTCCCTGTCTGCTCCTGACCATCTTCCTTATTGATTAACCTTCATGGGAAAATTCAGAAATCATAGGACATATAAATATAAAATGCAGTTATCTTCCATGGTTGCTGACTTGTCAATACCACATTTAATAATTGCAGGTGAACCAGATTGGTACAGTAACTGAATCTATTCAAGCAGCTCTTGACTCGAAGGCTGCAGGATGGGGTGTGATGGTCAGCCACCGAAGTGGTGAAACAGAGGATAACTTCATTGCAGATCTTTCTGTTGGCTTGGCTAGTGGACAGGTATTATCAGCTGTACCCTCTAAATCTTTTCTACATAGTATGTATTTGGGTAGACTTTAGTTAACTATTTTATGTTTTGCTATGTAGATCAAAACTGGAGCTCCTTGCCGAAGTGAGCGGTTGGCCAAGTATAATCAGGTAAAATTAAATCTTTTTCGTTTCTTCTTCTGTTTGTTTGTCATGCTTGAAGCTAATTTAACTAGCTATAGGTCAGATTGATACTACTGCATTATAATGAGTGATCTTGGTTTTGTACTGAATATTGTAGTAGGTCTAGATGTTCAATGCAGTTGAATATTTGCCTGGTTGGATAATACTAATGACCCAAATTTCAAAGTTATTTGATTGGTTAGTGTGGAAACAGCTTGCCTTAGAAGCTTAATCTATGAGCAAATGGGGCTAAACCTTGTCATCAAGTTTCTTTTGAATTCTTGTGTTTGGCTGGGGGATTTGGGAAGAGATTAGGACAGGAAGGGGAAAAGGTAGATGAAATGTGAATAATATATACTTACATTTTATATAGTTTCACACTCTTTTTCCTTTTTCTTTCCAAATCTCTCTCAAAATCTCCTAACCAAACACAGCCTAAAGTGTTCTCCTTGAAATTCTGGCAGTCTGTTATACGATTACTTTTTAAATCCTTGGTAAACAAACAGTTCTGAGATGTCACGGCATTCACCTTTTTCAGTTAATTAATTATCTTCAGCAACTAATCTAATCTCATCCGTTCTATTTTATCAATTCGATTGCAGCTTCTTCGTATTGAAGAGGAACTTGGAGATGTTTGTTATGCTGGCGAAGCCTTCAGAGCACCTTAAATCTTTTTGTTGAAGAATAACAAGTAATGGATCCAATTCTCACCTTAAATCTTTTTGTTGAAGAATAACAAGTAATGGATCCAATTCTCATCACGAAACAAAATTAACCTGAGCTATGAGTTTGGCTAGGTCTTTGGAAAATCTAGAGAAGTCATTTGTAAAATCCATTCGGCTTAGGCGTTAGAAAGCCTTCTTATTTTCAATTGTTGTCATTGAATAAAGATTTCTTGTTTTAGTGTTCTTGTGGATCTGGTATGAATGAGTGTGTCACTATACCTCCAGAGATGTAAACCGTTACGTTAGTTACTTTTTATTGGCTTCCAATGAAAACTTTGTTGAATTCTTTGTAATGATTCTGGTCTTAATGCTTATGTGCATAAATTTTTAGGAAATTATTAGAAAAAATTATATTAGTGATCCTTGCGTTTTGTCTCATGTCATTTTAATCCCTATATTTCAATCAATTCAATTTTGATCCTTAATTTAAAATTTTATGTTAATTTGGTCTAATTAATAACACCAGTAGGGTTTTTTGATGAAAATAATCACCGAATTGATTGAGATTAGCTCATTAAGTTGAGTAAGTTTATAATTTTTATTTTAAAAGTTTGACACATGCTGTTTATGTGCATATTTTTGATAAGAAGAAGTATAAATAATTGTAATAAATTTAAAATAAAAATCGAGTTAATTAAAATTACGAAGATCAAAATAGCTCAAAGAGCAAAGTACAAGAAATATCAACATACTTTGAAATTATTATTTACACTATACTTTGTGTTGTAATGGCAATTGGGAATAAGGGTGAGAAATGGGTCAATTAATTGATGAGAATGAATCATAATTAGGATTTATCACTAGTAAATGTAACTATTCATACTAAAAGGAATATAAAACACAAAATAAGCATTAACCAAAACCCACACATCTTTTGAGAGAATTGACCAATCAGATTAAGAGCATCGCCGTGTAAGTTACAATATGTGGACAAATCATTCATACAGCTTCAGAGAATTTGAATGTACATTAGATAAACAAGACTCACTGCTTGAAGTATGTTTTCACTGAAGAAGAGAACCCTTTTAGAACACTGCACGAGCACGGCAGATGCAAATCAGTCTTCACGGGACCTCCATGTTGATTCAAATGTGCAGGACACACGTGATCGATCACCAACAAATGCAACCAAAGCCAAACTTGAATAGCTGGGTCTTCAAAACATACACAACCAACCAGAGCTAAACTTGAATAGCTGGGCCTTTATATTCTCCCTGGCGCATATGGAGATCATCAGGTGTTTCTATCTGTGCAAGCCATGCATAATCCTCTTCATTGCCATCATTTATCTCATCTCCAATACCTGTAGCTGCAATATTAGTAAATTCAACAATTAAGACATGGTTATTGTTCCCTTGTGGAAAATTTTAAATGCACAGAATAGCAAGTGTAAACGAGTTAAAAGAACTTACAGAAGCTGGAGTAAGGGTAATCACGGTAGTAACTACATTTTCTGCCAGCGGCTTCTTGGTAAGGGGGTGCAAGAATGTCGAGCACAGCACAAGGGGTGATTGCTGTAAAACAATGAAGGTTCCCACCACTCTTTGGGTACAAAACTGAGGTTCCACAGGGTGCTGTTACAACTTTATCAACCGCCAACTTAGCCAATCTCACTGGCAAAGGAAGAAGATTCATCGAAAGAGGCACTACTAAAATCGTAAACAATAATGAAATGTATTGACCTATGAAATAACAAAACAAAACTAAGAGCAACCCTAGCCATTTTACATTTATCTATAATGCAATAATAAAAACTAACATTATAAATATCTCACTTTCTTACAATACGACCACATGTAAGAAAGTCTTTCCTGAGACCACGTGTTCCATAAAATTGTTAATGTTGCTAAGGAGAAGTTTCTTATGGTTAAGAAATATGAGAAAAATCTCATTCTGTAGGTCATGGAAACTATGGTTTCAAGTCTAAGATCATACCTGGTGGGTAATTTGGTCCCATGCCTCTCTGTATCCGTTCAGGCTCAACCCAATCATAAGCTTTTACATGTAAAGAGCCATAGAGAACTTTGCTCAAAACAGTCATCCCAGGATGATCATGGAGTGGAATAACCGAAGAAGTTGGAAAGCAGAATACACACATCTGCACCAAAAAACAAAGTATCTACTTCAGAACAAGCCTGGAATTCTTTCGCAACAACTTGGCAGACTGAGAATTAACATCTGCAAAACTGATTTTCGTATTTTGTATCCATCGACTGCTGCTTAAAAAGTTCAATTCTGAACAGCTCCTATGCAGTTTGAGAATGTTCCAAGTATCCGAAACAATTTGTAGCACCATGAATATCAATCTTAATTTCTCAAATAGTGCAAGTTTTGTTTATCATATCCAAATTGTATACTTGAACAAACTAGATTCAAGGAACAAAGGAAGAGAATGCATGATGCATTGGAAACATGTTTTTGTTGTGTAGGTCTGCTCAGGCAATTGGCCCCACCTGCTTCAGTGTAGGTCCGCTCATGGTCTTTGGTTGTATTACAAGTTTCTTGAGTTCAAAGTGGAGATAGGTTTCCATTTACCATTTATTTGCATTTTTTACTTGTTTGTATAACAATAGAAAGCACCTTTTTTATGTTTTCATTATTCAGCCTTGTTTTGAAAATCATTTTCAAGAAACTACAAACAAAAGCATGTGGCAAACATGCTTGGGAGTTGGGGACATAAGACTTCGTTTGTTTTGTATGTGCCACATTTTTATTTTTATTTTGGTGTGTTTTCCAAAACAGTATCAAACAAAACAGGCTTTTAACTATTGAAAGAATAAAATGAGTTGTCAAGCAACAGGAGGCATGAATATTCAGAGATGCAAAAGGAAAAAATGACTGAATTGGATTTCTCATGTAGAATGAAGGCAAGTGATATGATACCACCATCAGAGCTACAGTGGCAGTGATGGAGGATCTAAAACAAGAGGCCATAATATTGCCGGTTCGGCTGTAACCTCCAAGAAGGTAGCAAAGATTCATACGGTTGTTCTGAATTGAAGTGTAAGTAGAATAGTTTGGATGGTGATGACAATGATGAAAAATATTCCCAAAATTGTTGAATTCACATTTGCATTATATGAAATTTACCATGATCCCAAAGCAAGCACAAAAAAATTTCATCCGGATTCAAATTAAAATAGATGAAAGAGCTTACTGTAAAACTATCGCATTCATGTAGATCCACATAAGTTATTGGTTGAGCCCATCGATCAACCCTATTAAATCGATTAAGTCCAAAAAAACCATGACCTCTATCATCTTCTCGATTTTCCACTTTGAGCCCAACATCAGCAGGACCAATTGTGTCTGCAGAACAATAATCAGCAGTGATGTGTCTGAAGCAATACCTCAACATTAAAATTAAAAAATAAAAATGTCATAATAGTTTTAAATAAAGTAATTCTCTCTAATTTGACTTTGAGATGATTCATAAAAATCGTGATATTAGGGAAGCATTTCCATGAATGAATTGTGGCAAAAACAAAAAGAGTATAGAAATAAATTTGTAGTTACTAGTAATTTTTATCACTCAATAAAATGAGTTTAAGATGCACAAGGGGGTAGTCCCCAAACCTACCAAGTAATCTTGGCAAAGATTTCTGGCTGACCCCACCCTAGACATGGCAGTCTTGGGAACTCATTTATATACTTCCATTACTTTACCAATTTCACGGTATTTTAATTAGTTTCATAAAGAAAAATCATTAGGAGGAGGATATCAATGGCAATCTAAATTGTGTGAGTCAATCACTTTGAAAATGAAGATTGGGTATTTTCCAAATGCATATGGAACTGTTGATTTAATCTTTCCAGGAATATGATATGTTTTGGAATAGAAACAGCAGACATAGCAGATGGTAGGACAAACCCAATAGATATAACAGACATACCATACCCATTAGCAACATTGACAGTAATAGGAAAGAGAGGAGGAGTACAATTTTGAAGTAAGGGGAGATGGGGAGTCATATGATGAGAGACACCGGAGTCAAATCCAGACAGACGAAGAAATACCTGAAGAAGACCCAAGCAAACCTAAATGAAGAGTAGAAACAATGGAGGCAAATAGGGATGGCTGGGAGGTAGACAATATATGCTGAAGCTGACTAATCTGAGCAGTCAAGGAAGCCAAGTCAGGATCAGGAACCAGAGCAGATGCAGTATATGCAGCGGGAGGAGCCCAAAATTGGTTCTGAGACCGCTGAAAAGATGAGGCAGACAGACGTCTCTTCTTGGGACAGTGGTACTTTCAATGGCCACTCTGATGACAGAAATCACATTCATTTGAGGCAATGAGCCCCTTCTTGGGCTTTACAGAAGTTGAAACCGTCATCATCATAATGAACTAAAAAAAATAGAGAACCGTAATAAACTGAAATCTGATGGGGCAATAATGTAATAAACCAAAACTTGAGAGCTTCAAATATAATAACACCCAGACCAGATGGGTTTCGGACCAGAGAGAAGTAGAAGAGTTCGAGGATGAGATGGACCAGACTTGCGAACCAGAGAGAAGTAAAAGAAGCCGACTCCAAACCTTAAAGAGATCGTGAACCACGATATGTATGGGTGTTGTGATTCTAAACTAGAGAGAGAGAGAACTGTGCAAACACCTAGAGAGATGGACTAGAGACTTGAGAACAAGAGAACTAGGTGTTTCGACAGACTGAACTAGAGATGGGTTAAAGTCTTGCAAACTCGAGATGGGTCGCGAGAACAGATGGGTTGAACTCCAATGACCTAGAGAGCAATCTCGAGTATATGAACCAGAGAGAGAGAGAGGCGAAGACCCCTGAGTTGCGACTTCAGACGAGGCAGCCAGAGACGACTTCGAACAACAGGCGACGACTTCAAACAACAAGCGTGAACGCCAGCCAGACCTAGGGTTTCGGACGTGGCTCTAATACCATGTAAGATTTTTGAATAGCTTTTTGTATATTCAACTTGTGTAATTGCGTATGTTTACATCAGTTTATATAGTCCTAAATCTATTACTGAAAAAGGAAATACAAAGATTCCTATTTACACTAATTTCTAATATAACCAATTATGCCATATATACAATATATTCCCACAGTCATGTTGTATAACCCATGGCTACCAGCGAGCTCTCTTTGAGTGGAGAAACTAGCTTACAAAACAAAGACAAAACAATTTAAGATTTTTTAAAGGAAAACCTGGGAAACGCTTCCAAGGCGTTCAAAAACTCTAAAATAGTTTAAAGAAACTTGTCAAAAACTCTTGGAAAATATTAGGGCAACTCCCTGAAAGGATCTTCTAATAATTTTTGTTATGTTTTTCATACTCTCAAAGCTTATTATTCAACAATAATATGTCACTATTCTTACAAGTTTCTCTAAAATTTGTTTGACATTTCCCATTTCCCATGTCATTTCCTGTTTCCGTTTCCGTTTCCAATATTGACAACTATGGTCTAACCATTATGCTACATTTCAAAAAAAACATTTACAGTCATTTATCTTTGCACATACCATAACAATTTCTATTCCAGGTGCCCAAAATGATCAGAATGGTTCCAATGTATCAAAAGAAACCTCATCACTGACATTGTACAATGTACCCCTTATAAATAAAACAAGCCAAACACATTTCATTAAAAAATTAAAAACAAATAACACCAAATTCACTTTGCATCCAATAAAAACTAACTGCCCCAAAAAATATGATGACTAAGTCTTGATATTTGCATAAATATACACCAACAACTTAAAGATTAGAAATTTGAATGTAACTCAAGATGCATCAAATTATATATCTTGATTTCAGCAACAAACCCCTACTCAGAATCACAAAATAGACAAAACCCACATGCAGAATTGCTCAATTTTTAAAGATAATTGAATAGAAAAGCAAAAGAAAGTGGAAAGAAAAAGTACCCAAGAGAGAGCAGAGCTTTTGAATGGATTGAGGAGAAAGAGGAGGTGTTCCTGAGGGCGTAAACGTCTTTTTGCAGAGATCGTAGAGAAGTTGAACAGAAGCTGAAGAAGAAGAAGAAGAAGAAGAAGAAAAGGCCTTCTTCGTCATGGTCACTAGCTTCCGATACATCTACTCCAATAAAAAATGATTTCCTAACCTTATCAGATGCTTTTCCAAATATTTCGAGTGTTTTGGGGCTGATTTGAAAATTAGCTTTTTTGGTTGTCAACTACCATCTCAGGTGGACTTCACTACTCTCGGATCATCATCTTGACCGTTCATTTCAAGATCTAATCTATTCGGTGTGCCGCGTGGACCCAACTTTTTTGGGAGAACCACAGATTCACAGCACATTGTAACAGAAAAATAAATAAATACAAAATATATTAATATGTCTGTGATATTTTTTCTTCCCAACTTCACTTGAAAGTGATTTCCCCAATTTTTTATTGGGTCGAGAAACACACCAGAAGAACACACCAGAAGGTAAGACTTGTGTTTTTGGACCCTGATTATTTTTAATATAAAAAAGGTATAAAAATAAGAAAAAGAATTGATTTTTTATAATGATTTTTTTTAAAAAAAACTATTTAATATGCTTGCTAAAATAAATTTTAAAAAAGTTAAAAAATCCAAAGATAGTGTTCTAAATAGAAGATAATGCTTACACTTTCATCTACTTGGTATGCTTCTTTCTTTTCTTCTTATTTTTTTCCCCTTAAATTTCTACCCTTTATAATTATTCAAATATGTTCCTTATACCAATAAATACTTATATAGTACTGGTTGTAATTTTTTATGTTTGCCATCAACAAATGATTCAGATGCTGGGACTTGTTTGGTTTGTATTTGAAAAACATGTTTTGAGATAAAAAGTACGAAAATTTGTTTGGTTTAGTTTTTTTTCAAAAGATGTTTTGAAAAATTATTTTGAGAGAGAGTTTTAGAAAAAGTGATTGATTTGATGTGTATGAGAGAGAGATTTGTTTGGAAAACTTGTAAACCAAACAAGTTTTAGAAAAAAATTTTGAAAAAATTTGTTTGGTTTGATTACTTTTAAAAATTTATTTGTAGAGAATTTTTCCCAAAATTTTTTGAGAAACACAAACCAAAACTTTTAAATTCATTTATGCCCCTAATGACATGGCTCGATAACAATTTGTTTTGTTTCAGTCATTTATAATAACTAGAAGCAACCAAGTTTGGGATTGTCTTTTTTTAATAGTTTTTTAATTATTATTATTATTTTTAATATTACACTACTTGACTAGATAGATAGAAAAAAAAAATAAGTTTTTTAAAAAAGTCTATATATATAATCATGTGTATGTATATAATCTATCATATATAAAAAATAGAAAAACTATGTCATATAAAAAGCATGTAAGTATAGAGTTTTGGTGAAATATTCTTGTTGAAATATAGCAGCTAGAATATTATTCTTGAAATATATCCCACAAATTTTGGCAGAATTTGTTATGCTATTGAAAAGCTATATAAGAAGTCAAGAATTTTAGTGAAATATTCTGATGATCTATAATAACACTCAAGTTAAAATATTATAAAAACTAATAAATTTTATAAAATTTACTTGCTTATTGATGTGATAATAACTTTCAAAATTTTAAACGGAATCATTTATTAATTTATTTAACATTACACAAGATAAAAACATTAAAAAGAGTAAACTTTAGTGAAACCAACAAACTTTATTCAGGGCAGTGGCTAGCCTTTACAAAGAGTAGACTTCAGTGAAATGTCAGTCACTGCATTTGAATAACTGCCATTTTTACAATAACAATGATTCATTCTACTAAAAACACCACCACTAATAGCACTAATGCATTAAAAAAGTAAAAAAAAAAAAATACAACTCCAAGACTAAAACATCACATCACTACTGGTAAGACCCACTGCCACCTAATTAGTGGGAGCACTAATTAGTGCTCCCAAGCATTTTTCTTTTTACAAACCTTGACCAAACAAACCAACTTTTATTCAAATACAGTGACTGACATTTCACTGATACTCAGAACCACTCATGTGAACACACCAATAAAATCTACAATACGTGACCCCACATATAACGAACCAAACTGTTCTTGCACAACAGTAATTCTTTGATTGTATTGTCAACAATGATTTATCCCATTAAAAACATCATCACTAATAGCACTAATACATTAAAAAAGTAAAAAAAAAAATATATAATTTCAAGACCAAAACATCACATCATTAATAACGAGACCCACTACCACCTAATTAATGGGAGCACTAATTAGTGCTCACAAGCATTTTTCTTGTATTGTACACTAAGATCAACCGTTTCCATTACCGTCCCAAGATGGATTTTGAGACGGTATGCAGTTTGTGATTGGCTCTTAAATTATGTGATTTGTACACTTTAGTACTTATTAATTTTTTCACTGACTGTTAAAGTATTTGATATGTAACATTTTAGGCCTCGACAAATTTTTAAATGAAACCCCAACAAAATTAAAAAAAAGTCGACTTTCCTAAAAAATTTTGAATTTTAAATTTTAAATTATTTGACATCAATTTTCAAAATTTTTTGTAATGACAAAAAAGTTAACTTTTTGGTGTCAACTTTTCTTAATAACATTTTATTTTAAAAAATTAATCATTTTTTTATTTTATTTTATTGCGAGACTAATTCCATCGTTCATTTGTGAAGATTCTAATTAAAGTTAGGGAAAAACCCATACACAACCCATTAAACTGACTACTCTGAGAAACTAGTCCCACTATCCACTTGTAGGGTCCTAATTAAAGTCATGGTAAAATTAAAGTCATGCTAAAGTCTTGTATGGCCTGATTCCAATAAATTATTTGCACTTAAAATGTTTTGAACCTGAGATGTTACAGATTCCAATACACATTTTATAGATTCAACAATTCCAAAGATACGTAGATTCCGTAGTTCCATAATGCTCAATAAGGCTCTTAGGATTTCCAATCGACATAATGTTAACATAATTACTTGCAAAGAATGGAATGTTAACAACGAAAATCATTAACGATAAGTAAATGTACAACCACAATACTACTACTCACAGTGGTAGGTTTCTGATAGCGGTGGAACGATGTCCTCATCTTGACCTACAAACAAAATGTACATAGCAGATTATGAGGATAAAACCAATCTCTTTCTTATTCCTTAATCAATAGCCATGGTGGTTCTAAATTCATTAGTCCTCCATAGGTTATAATCCATGCCTCATAAAATAGGAAGAATCGATAGGAAAATAGTTTAAGTGCAGAAATGGTACAAAACCAGTAGACAGAAAGTGAGCAACTCTCACTAATTTGGGCATAACTATTTCTGTACATAGAATTTGGGAGTGAGACCACCACCAATGGAAACTAGACTTCTGGGGCTTGATTTTAGGCTCAATAATCACTCAAAACAGAGTCCGGATGCAAAAGATATGCTTATTCAAAGTTACCCAGTACATGCTGAAACAGGGGTGGCCGCTCGTGCGCCCACTTTGGCTGCTCGTGCGGCCCAAATCCGCTCGAGCGGAAGAACCTGGCCGCTCGAGCGCCTAAAAGCAAAATGAAAACCTCTTTTTTTTCTTCATGTCTGCTCGTGCGGTGCCCGTGGCCACTCGTGCGGTCTGGGCAGAATCAAACAATCCGAAAATGATTTTTTGTGCCCCAACACTTAATCTATCCATTTTTTAAGCTTGATTTCAAGTCTAATTACTCAAAAACATGCATAATTCCTTCCAAAACATAACCAACTAACATCATCAAATAGAATCTCATCTTTTTCTATATATCCAACCTTCCGTTATATATGCCCAAATCATGTAAATATAACTTAGATTTAAGGAAAGCATGGTTTAATTCCTTGAATTCAACCCAATCCATTCATAATTCAACACACTTGCTTATTTACATATGAAACTACCAAATTAAACCTTGATTTCATGTAGTAGATGGATTCTCTACAAGGATAATAGTTAGAGCCACATACCTTACCCAAATCCTTGTTCTTCCCTTTAATCTCTTCAATTTTCCCAAGCTTCTTGGTTGATCTTCTTCCTCTGTCTTCTATTTTCTTCAATCAACCTCGAATCCCCCATGGATGATGAGTTTTGCCTTTCTCTCTCTCTCACGGTTCACTTTCTCTCTCCCTTAGATATAATTAAATTAAAACACATTATCCCCTAGTTAAATAAGGATGACTTCTTATACGCATGTTGGGGTTGTTACAGTTTTCATACTCTCCTGGAGCTGACGCATCATCTCTTCCATTCCTGCCATACTGCCCTGATCTAACTGATCTATCGGTATATCTGTCTCTATGGTAAAAGCAGATATCTCAACCCAACTGCATACAGGTGAGATGGATAATGACTGCTGATCCGAAGACTGTTGAACTAATGATCTGCGCCTGACTGACCTTTTTACCCTGCCTCTGGCGAAGGAACACTGATTTGCCCTTGAACTGAATCTCTGACCTGACAAAGTCTATCAGCACAAGTCCAACGTACCGGGGGATATTGGAGCCTTCTGAAGCTATGGTTCCAAGACTACCCCTAGCAAAAGAGAAAACAGGCAGCATCCCAACCTAATTTCACCATAATAGATATGAGCATAGCTGAATGACTGCACTCTCTACTGGATTCTGTCCAAAATTCTTCCCTGTAAACTGATACCCTCAGGTAAAACTGATTCTTCCAAATACCGAAGCCCTCAAGGCTTGATACCCAGACTTGCAACTGATACATGCATTCCTGTAGAGACGTACTCTAAAAGCACATAGCAAGTGAGAGGCAAAACATCCCTATGTTGGGGTAGGGTTTCCCTGTCCTATCTTGTCAGGAGCTAGGGCTCACTACGCACGCAACGGTTTCAAACAACCTACAATCGGGTAAGCAACCAGTCCTAGTTTAGAATGGTCACTATGGATTCTGAATATGCACTAGGTCGAATGGTCAAAAAGGGTGCCCCGGTAAAAATCAGGGTTTGTGTTCCCATCATGGTAGAGCCCGTAATCGGTCAGCCTTATGGCACGCTTCTCAAAGCGAGCCTCCGGCAGACCGTTCAGGAATAGTAAATGGTAAACACGGTGTCCTAGGCACACCAATGCAAATGCAATGCAAAGAAACACATAAGTGTAATCAAAACAAGATATCATGAGTTCGAGTCAAGTTCTCTAAATCCCCAACAG